TATAAAACCAATATCAGGCGAATGGAATGTCGGATTTGAACCAGATTTTGCACAACCTATTATCTTTACTAAGCATAGATCAAGTCCGAAGATCAACATTAAATCCGAAACCTCCTAAAACGAATAATAAAACCTGTGTGTAACTCCGAAGATTTCCGCAAACCATAGGCTGAGGGTATATATTTGTCGGCAACACTGACTGACTCTTTTGTACTTCTTTTTAATCTAGTCTAATAAATGTTAATGTAGCCTCTCTGTTACGGTAGCATATAGGTGGTTTTGAATAGTGATTTACCCTCCTATATGCTATATGGTTATTTGTAAGTAAAATTAAACCTTTTCTTGAAGGAGGTCTTCCACTCGACACCACCTATATAAACATCACCTATATAAATGTACCATTTTAGATATTTTCATGGTTCTAAACGTCTTTTTCAACCGTTGCGGGGTTAATTTCTCAATTATTTTCATTATGGGGTCATAGCCTCCATATAAATGTCATTCCGGGTTCTTGATGGGCAAAAACACTTCCTCGATAGTAATTTTCATGTTTTGGTATAGCCCCAATTATAAAGATCCCGATTGATATTAAAATTTTGTTAGTTGTAGCCAATTGATGTGGTTATATGTATTGGGGTTTCCCGAGGAAAATTTTTCCATTGTAGGTCCGTGCCCCACATATTTGTTTCTCCTTTTTTAATTTAATTGATTAGGTAAGACTTTTAATGTTCCTTTTAGTCATTTCAAGATCCCTAGACCAATAATTGTTAAGGTCCAATTGAAATGCGTTAGGAATTATACCTTATAAAAATGTATCGTTTTCGGTATCGCAAGTCGGAATCTATAACTCCCTATTGGACCATAAAAGCAATAGCGGAGACGATGATAACGTACAAATCTATGGTCAGTTATGTCATGTATGGCGATGTATTAGGTGCCAAGATAATAAGATTTGACACTATTCCAAATCACTCCACATCCCTACATTAATATATCAGAGGTGCTTGATATTCTTGTTGATCTTGGGGTTCGAGTTTGTATCTCTCGATCGATCTTTCTCTTTCGATTGTGAAGATCTCCCAAGTTGCACCTGCAGAGACAATTAAAACAATTGCAAAAATGATGAGATAAACTGTACTCTGTGATGCCGAGCACGCGTAAGATACCTTCGACTTAGTACATAAGTCGTACCAATGGGCGATCTTCGGCAAGTCTGAATACTGTGGAAGACTTAGAATACGTCTTAAAAATTTATCCGATAAAAAAATGAATTTAGCTAGGAATTTTTTAAGTAAATAAGTGGAGTATAAAGATACTTTGTACAAATACGAATATATTCATTAATCCTTTCATTTTTTAATTGGAAATACTTTAATTATATACGGATATGTTTAAAAATAAAACATTTCCTCTGTTCTAGTGAATTCTTTTGTTGGGGTATATTTCAAAAGTGTAGATTTCAGGCGTACAACAACATTGGAATGCCAAAACAATATAAACCGGTTAACTATAGCCGTATTGAAAACGCATTTATCACACAAAACCTTCCTCCAATAATTCAGGGAAAACGTATTAAAAATTAGGACTTCATTGAAATTGGTGGCATTTATACTACAATCAGCTTAATTCTTATAAAGATCAGGTTTAAGTATATAAAAAAACATCAACAACAACAGCAAGTAAATAAATACAAAATAAAGGTAACATAGGCTGGCTTGGTTCGAGGCTTGTTTGTTTCGACTGATTGGTGTTATTATTTAGAAATCTAACAAAAACGAAAGGCAACGAACGAACAAACTAACGACTGAGAAGTGTGTGCGTGTGTGTGACAAAGGACGTCTAAAACTTACTTTTCCACAATGGCGTCGAGGAAGAAGAAGATGCATTGTAAAACGGTTTTGGCGTACTGTTTGTGTTTATGGCATTCGAGGTGATTGTGGAGGTGGTGGTCGTGTTGTTGGTTTTATTGGAGACGGCTTTGGCATTTGGACTGATGGTGGCGTTGGTGGCGGTGGCTGTTTGTGGACCAAATGGCGTTGCCAACAGTGGATGGTGTTGTGGATAGGAGGACGACGGTAGTGCAAGTGGTTGTTGTGATGATGGTGATGTTGCATAGAATGGTGATGATGATGTTTGTTGGTGTGGTGTTGGTGCATGCATACTGTGTAGTGATTTCGTTTGTTGTTGTTGCTGCTGCGGATGATGATAATGTTCATTTCCAATTGGTGTGTTGGTCGCTACCGGTGGTGGAAAACTACCAATACCGCCAGCAGCTAAACGCCCCATTAATGTTTGCCGTGCAGCGGCGAGGGCGGCAGCATTTGCTGGCAGTGTTGTACTATGCTGTACTACAGCGGGTCTGTTACGCATTGTCATGGATTGTGTTGGTGGTGCGGCTGGTGCTGGAGATGGCGGTGTCATTGGTTCGTTATAACCCATTTTGTTACCTCCAAGTCCAACGAATCCTCCTCCTCGGTTTGTCATCATGGGATCATTACCGGTAAATGATTTACCGGCGGCATTACTACTACCGCCATATCCTAAATAACTTCCACTGTTGGCACGCATTTGATCATAGCCCCCGCCGCCGTTGCCGAAATACGATGAAGAACATGCTAATGGCTGTGTTGACTGTGGCCTGTGACGTAAAACTAAAATATACAGATGATGATACCAAAGAAGAAGATGATGAGATGAGAAGATATTATTTGCTAAGAGATGTTGTTAATACACAAACAAACAAGAAGAACACATAGAATGCTCACATATAGAGATATATATGAGATATTTTTTGTTTTGTTTCTTTTTTATATATATATCTATAGAATATAATATGAATGTGAAAAAAGGGACTAATAAAATAATACACACAATATCTTATACACCATTATCTTCTATAACGTAGGTATATCTATTACAATTAGGGTACTACGGAGATTGTAGGTATTAAATATATGTAGTTGGGTATATACGTATAGAAAACAACATTGTTTTGCCTCTGAGCTATTAACGTAGTAGTTAGGACCATAACTAACTTTTTGAAAAACAACAATAAGAAAAAAATTTATATATAAAAAGTGAAATAAATAGAATAGAACATAATATCAAAAATGTTGGCACACAATGGCCAATACACGTTCATTCCGTACAGTATAAAGGGGGGTGTTGTGTTTGTGATTAGCATGAAATATATACACGACAAATGATGGATAGGTGGTATGTATGGATGGATGGATAAGAGAATATACAATTAACAAAAATAAAATGAATGCCTTTATTTTGATTTACTTTTGGGATTGCGAAATTCGCTTTGGGGTAAAAAAAAATTTTGAGAAGTAAAAAAATATATTCCATGGCGAAAATTGGAGGAGAGATTACTAAATACAATTATTGGAATGACAAAAATGTTCCTGAGTTCCCTTTCGGTTGGAAAACTCTACTAATACCTGAAAATATCTAATTAAAATATACTTCATTATAAAAAACAATTTTTATAAATCCACACCAAAAAAAAAAATCACGCCTATTGAGGTTCTTTAAAAAGTATCCGACAAATGATAAATTTTTTAATAAAAAGGGTGTGCTAATGAAAGGCCTTAAAATATATATTTTTTAAAATTCACCTTCCAAAAAATGTTAGAATTTATTATTTAAAACTTGTCGTCCATTGTTCTTACAAATCCACCTTCATACTACTAAAAATATTTAAAAAGAATTAAAAAAGCGTTAAGTTCGTCTGGGCCGAACTTTGGATACCCTCCACAATAGGTATACTGATTGTTACATGATATGAAAAAAAAACTATTTTTATATAACCAGTAAGGAAAGTAGTAAAGTCAGACTGGGCATACTATATGATACCCTTCGCCACTTTGGGTATATTTTGGTCTCCTAACAGACGTCGCATTTTCGAAATATACGAAATATATATAAGAACTTTGGTGCACCATTTCAATTAAGGGAAGATTCGAAGGTAGATTCGAACTAAATCAAAAAAATGTTGACACCGAGAAGGGTGGGGGGTTCCCTTAAATCGAACGAAAATATATATGGGAACTATATCTCAATCTTAACCGATTTTCACGAAACTTCACGTACGTCATTTTAGGCCTAATTCAATACGCTATGCCAAATTTCGTGCAAATCGAATGACAAATCGGTTGATAAATGCGACCTGTACTTTGTTTACAATGTAACATCAACAGACGGACGGACGGACGGACGGACATGCATAAATCCACTCAGAAATTGATTCTATGCATATTCTCAAAAGGTGAAATACGACTACAAAATTCCAAATTACAGCGAAACGCGCTAAAACCCTCAAAATACTGAAGTTTTGGGGTTGCCGTTACATGGGGCTATCCGAAAATGGTGGACCTATCTTTATAATTTTTATTAGAGAAATTTGGTACCCAATAATAACGCAATGTGGCAGATTTCAGTGAATTCGATTGAAAAACGCACTCAGGAACTCCAAAACACCAACAATTGGGAGTACCCTTATATGGGGGCCAGAAAGAGTCTACCGATATTTATAATTTTTAGTAGAGAAATTGGGTATACTATAGGAGCGCAATATACCAAATTACAGTGAATTTCTTTTGGAAAAATGCACCCGAAAAAATTACTTTTATTATAGGGAGAGATTTGCTACCTAATAAGAACCCAATGTACCAAATTAAAGTGAATTCTGTTGAAAAACGAACTCAAAAAATCCCAAAATACCGAAAATTGGAATTGTATTAAAAAAATTCAAAATTTTTACACTTTGTAGGGGGGGAGATACCACAAAGAGTGGACCGAGGAGTCCCATCTTCGAACATGATCTAGGTTTCGTAAAAGCATTACGATTAGCAAAATACGGATGAAATTGGATATTCCATTCGTTTTATATTGAATTTAGAAATTTTTAAATTTTATTGACACTTTGTGGGGGAGATACTAGAAGGAGTGGATCGATGGATCCCATCTTCGAACATGATTTAGGGTTGGTAAAAATATTACAATGTGTAAAGTTTGGGTCAAATCGGACATTCCTTTCGTTTAATATTGAATTTATATTCAATTTAACATTTTGACCCTTTGTGGGGGGGTACTATACGAAGTGGACCAATAGCTCCCATCTTTGGACTTGATCTAGGCTTGGTAAAGGTAATATGTTGTACAAAGATTGGTTGAAATCGGACATTCCATTCGCTTCATATTGTATTTATAAATGTTGAAAATTTGGACCCCTTTGTGGGGGAGGTACTATAAGAAGTGGACCAATTGGTCCCATCTTCGGACTTCATTTAGGCTCGGTAAAGATAATAGGTTGTACAAAGTTTGCTTCAAATCAGAAATTCCATTCGCCTGATATTGGATTTATAAAAATTTTACATATAAGGTTTGGTTCAATAGGTCCCACCTTCGGACTTCATCTAGGTTTGTTAAAGATAATGGGTCGTACAAAGTTTGGTTTAAATCGGGTAGTCGGGTCGCATGATATTATAACCCGAATTTTTTGCACAATTTGGACCATTTTGTGGGGGATGTACCAGAAGGATTCGACCGATTGGTTTCATGTTCAGGCATGATCTTGGTTTGGTAATAATATTACGATGTGTAATGTTTAGATCAAATCGAACACTTCATTCGTTTCATATTCAAGTAACAATCTTCAAAAATTTTGATCAAAATTTTCTAAAATATTGATTGACAATTTTTGCCTTATAAAAGTGATTAGCCTTATTAGCCATCTTCTAATTTGTTAAAAAGAAAAAAGGTGACTGACAAACGTTCTAAATTTGAATAAAATAGGTTACTCCCTTCGAGAGTTATCGAGTGTAAGAGCCAGCCAGACAGGCGGACATTTATAAATCGACTAAGACATACTTTCTATAGAAAAAAGTCTTTTTTCTAAAGAAACTCTGCCGAAGGTATTCTATGTATACAATCTGTCGATAATAGTACTCCAGACGGTGTTCTATATATAGAAAAAATATTAATATTTTGAAGACTTGCAGCTGGCAACCTGCAAGTCTTCAGATGGTTTATGTCTATAGAAGAGCTGAAAAGGATATTATATCTATTAAAGACCTGAAGAAGTTATTTTGTCTATGGAATACCTAGGTAAAGTATTACGCCTCCAGATTAACAAGCCAACAAGTGCTTAATATTTGCTGATGACACTTATGAATACATAGTGAGTCATACCCCTGCCATCATCCATGGCATGTCTAGACAAAATAGAATATAGTTGGCTCAACTATGTTCAGAATCTTGGTATTTTATAAATTAATTTGAAATATTTTATACTAAAAATTTGGAGTCAATCCCTTTGAGGCTTATTTGAATTATTTAATTAATAATTATCCACCCATTTTGCCATGGAATATTTTTCACACACAAAAATCACATTGTAGGAAGAGCATTATACTAAACTAACAATCGGTTTGGTTGGATAAGGGAAGGTAGAGGTATTCAAATTGTAAACATAAAATAAAATAAAAATTACATCACTTCGCATAACTTACCTGGCTGTATAGCATTTCCAATGATGGTACGAGCATTCTTTAATTTTTGTTCACGTTCTACAGCCGGTTGTTGCGGCATACCAATTTGTTGCGTTTCATAAACACCACCAACACCGGGCGTTTCGGGTTTGGCACATAAATTATTAAGTTCTTTGGATGATTCCGATTGGGCTTGACGTATTAAGGCTATTGAATTTTCCATAGATTTACGGGCATCTTCCAGCGAAAATGATGATACGGAAGCCTTTGAATCGCTTGCCTCTACATTTGATGTATTATCATTGGCTTCTGTTAGCTCTTCATTTTGTGCGGCATTTTCAGCTTCAGCAGCTGCTGCAGCAGCGGCTGCCGCTGCAACTTCTTCCAGAGCACGACGTTCACCAGCTGTTAACTGTTGACCCGGAACGGTGGCCGGAGTTGAGGCCTTACGTTCATATTCTTTTTTATAATTGCCCACACTGACACCGGGTATAACCATTTTTTTGGGTTTATCTGCAGCAGCCTGGCCGGCATTCATTGCTTGGAATTTTTCTGCAGTCTCCATAATGCGTGATTTTCGACGTTCATTGTTGAACTTATTGAGTGGAGATTCATCCTGTAAACTGCATTTACGCACAAATGGTTTGGTGGTGGCTGCGGCGGATTCTGTTGCAGTTTTCGTTTTTGTAGTCTCTGAGGCTTTGGCACTTTCGTCGGCATCAATTTTACCAATGACATTAACCAAATCGGCGGTCTTGTGTTTATTGACAAATTTCTTAATGACTTTGGTGGCACCTTTAGTCTTATCGGGATCTTCTTCAGCACTGGTGGCGGCGTTAGCGTCCAATTTTGTGCTAGTCAACTGGCGAACTAGTTCTTTTTCGGGAGAGAACCGTTCAGCTGGCATGTTGGTGGCGGCGGTGCTGGGTGTTGGTTCCTGTATTAACTGTTCACATATGTCACCAACTGCCTGGATATCCTTGACGGAGAAATTGCGTGAGGCATTACTTTTAATACCAGCCGCGGAGGGTGGTAAAGGCTCGTCAGCCGCAGCAGAAGTGGTTTCCTCGGTTTCCATTGGTGTAGGTTCTTCTTCTACAATGGTGGAGGTGGCTGTTGTCTGTTCGGCCCCACCAACACCAGCTAAGGTATGGGTACTGCCGGGCTTCTCCTTTTTCTTCAGAGCAACACCGGTGGCATTTTCTGTTGAAACGGTATTCTCAAGTTTACGTTTTGTCTGTATTGGACTTTGTGCAGGTGTAATGGTACGTGTAGGAGATGGCATAAGCGCTGCCTCACCACCGGCTAAAAGAGTGGGCAAATAAAAATACGGGGGTCAAATGAGAGAGAGCGTTATGTTAAAATGTGAGTTCGTGAAGTTTAGTTCACTTAAATGTGTTGAGGGTGAGGTGGACGATAACAGATATATAATTGTTTTTGTTCGTAATTAATTAAAGTAGTTACACGGGGAGAGGAGCGGAGGTGGGGGGAAATGAAATAAGGAGTGGATAATTCAAGGACATAGGGTTTGGTTTACGAGAGAGGTTAGGCATTGGTGTTTATTTTTTTGGAGGGTGGAGGGTGTGTGTTTTGGAATTTAGAAACAAAAAATAATAATAACAACATCAAAACCAAATTTAGAGAAATAGTCAATTTGAAGTACAATTTGTATGACAATAACAAAAAAAGAAGAAAACAACAATAACAAGAATAGTTTGATAATTTACAACAAGGGGAGGTATGGAAAGATAATTTTCTCTTTAAAATTTTCAGATATAAATCGTAAATGGGTTTAAAGATTTGAAATATAGGGGAAGACTCGAAGTGGCTCCAAATATTAATATTCCTAAAGTTGAAGCAATCCTCTTTAGCATGCAATATAGACCTACCTCGACCTTCACATTCTCAATATCGATTGGGACCCTAACAAGAGGACTTGTTTAATACTAGGACTGCTATTTAAATTATTCCGGGTTTTATTAATTTTTTGTATATCTATTGAGACCCTAGCAAAGAGACTATTAAATGTTGATATTATTCTAAATTTTTTCTTAGAAGTACCATTCCTTGATGGGAAAATGAGGCAAGGACCTTGAAAACACCTAAAATAGGACGGAGGATTCATATGGGGTTTTGTATGTCAAAGTGGAACCTTATATGTCAGCTAAAAAGTATTTTACCGTAAAATAACTCCGAATGGCAAATTCCAACCATTTCGATGGGAAAAGGGTGGGGGGTTAAACCCACCAAGTATTGAAACTGGGAAGGTATGGCTATATGAAGGTAATACCAAATAGGGCGGAAATATATCAATCTGATTGCATCTAAAGTTGAAAAATCGAATATGAAGCATCTAGTAAATATGGGGGCCTGATATGGACCATATATATTATACTGAACCCTTTTTTTAATTTGTATATTAACCTAATTTCATATAAAGTTGGAGGGTATGATAAACCAACCTTTTTATGATTTAAATTCTGAAAATGTCGTACAGAGAGAGATTTGACTTATTGCACTGCAAATCAACCATTTTACGATTTAACATCTGAAAATGTCGTACATAGAGAGAGTTTGGACCTACTGTACTACAAAACAATCGTTTAAAGTACAACAAAAAACAAATTCTCCAACAACTTACCAGCTACCATATCCAATATTCTACGTTCCGCTTCCGTAGTTGTTGTGGGTGGTCCAATTTCACGTATTGAACCCACCGAATGACTTCGGGGTATGGCACCACCTTTAGCACCAACAGCTGCATCAGCTGCCGAAGGAACTACCAATTGTTCGGCCGTAACAGCTGCCGGTGTCAACGATAACAGCACATCTAAACGTACGGGTGTTTGATTGGCCAAATCTTCGGCCAATTCTAAGCACGAAACATTATCGTTTTCATTTACCCACCAATGTGAGCAAATTTGTTCAATATTGGCACGTTTGCGGGGACATACAGTTAACATTTCACGTATCAGTGATGAGGCACGCGAAGGCTTCTTTGGTTCATAATAATCGCCTTGGCTAATTTGTTTGACAAGTCTTTTGAAATTGGAACCATCGAATGGCATAGAACCATAGACTAGAGTATATAGCAGTACACCCAGAGACCAGCAATCTACCTCAGGGCCGTGATAGGGTGTACCTTCGACAATTTCCGGCGAAGCATAGAGGGGTGAGCCACAAAATGTGGCCAGCAAACGTTGATCGTCAAAGACATTTGACAAACCAAAATCGGCAATCTGAAAAGGGAACAAAACAAAAACAATTAATTCTTTATTCTAGTGAAGAAATTCGAAGAGATGGAATTACTAACCTTTGCATTGCCATGTTCATCTAATAAAATATTTTCTAATTTCAAATCTCGATGGCAAATTTTATGCTTGTGACAATAATAAACAGCGGTGGCCACTTGGCGAAATATTCGTCGGGCCTCCTCCTCGCTTAGCACCTTGCGTTCCGACAAATAATCATAAAGTTCACCGCCAGCGGCGAATTCCATTACCAGAACCATTTTTTCACGATTTTCAAATACTGGAAAATAACAAAAAACAACAATAACATTAATAAAAATAAATTAAATCTCCTAATAGGAAGCTCGACACTCACCTTCATAAATATGTATTATATTTGGATGCTGTACAGAACTCATAATCTGTACCTCTCTTCGTATTCTTACTAAATCCGATTCAGCTTCTATTTTACATTTCTTAATGGTTTTAATAGCAACCTCTTGTCCAGTCTCTTTGTTAATACCCAATTGCACCTTGCCATAGGTACCCTGACCTAATTTCTTAATTATATCAAATCTGAAATAAAAGAAAGAAGCGGAAATTAGTTTTGTCTCCCTAAAAATGGGTAAGTAATATTTATGGCACTTACCTCTGTCTCAGTTTTTTTCTGTGATTATTCATTTTCACATCGCCCGTATTGGCAATGCCGCTCATTATATTGTCGATTTTATCTTGTGGAATTCCCGAAGGATGGGGCACACTATTTGTGCCCCCTGTATCTTGATTACCTATAACCATTTTTGTGCTGCTTAACTAATGCTGAAACTGCAAAACAATAAGTAAAAATATATGTTAGATTATATTGATGTAAAGGATTTTATAGTGATATTATGACAAAAATTAGAATTGTGTTGCTTTTTTGAAATTGAAATACTTAACAATCAGAAAAATATTCCAGAATAGATTAGGCAGAGTTCCATAGTATTATACATGGTCTGATAAACAAATGTTTTAAAAGTAAGCATCGATGTTTGAGCTGGTGCGTCTCGTCGTCCAAGGCATTGAGATTCATTCCCAACGATCAAACACTTTTTTATAGTCTCTGAAAATTGTTTGTATTTTCACAATTTTTCAATATTCTCATACGCCTATGCTTTTTTGACTTTTTAATACCCTCAGCCTAATGGCTAATGAGGGCATATACACTTTCCTACGACAAATATGTGCCTCATCGAAATATTGATTTTAGACCCCATGTTTGTTTGGACCAAATCAGTTTCAGACAATTTAGAGTTAATTTACAAATGTCCGTCTCTCCGGCTGGCTTGTGTGCACGATAACTGTCGAAGGTAGGAACCGATTTCATCCAAATTTTGAGTTCGAATATTTCGATTCACTTTTTCTGGTATCATACACACAAAATGGTCAACATGTTTTTTAAATTTTTATAAATGTAATATAAAGCGATTTGATCCAAACTTTTCAAATCGTAATACTTTTACCAAACCTTGATTGTGTTCAAAGATGTGACCCGTCGGCCTACTACTTGTGGTATCTCACCCATAAAGTGTCGACATTCTGATAATTTGTTCATTCAATACAAGCCATGCAATATCCGATTTGATCCAAACTTTACGCATCGTAATACTTTAACCGAACCTAGATTATGTCCGAAGATTGGAACCATTAGATCACTCCATTTGGCTCCTCTCCCACTAATTGAAACTATTTTGAAATTTTATAATACAATATCAAGCGAATGGGATGTTCGATTTCATCCAAACTTTCCACATCATAATGATTTAACCTTAAATAGAACATGTTCGAAGATGGGACCCTTCTGGTACCTTCCCCCCGAAGTGTCAACAATTTTAAAAATTCGTCCATTCAATAAAATGTAAATACAATGTCCGGTTTACCCAAACTTTGCGCATCATAATACTTTTTTCCGAACCTAGATTATGTTCGAAGATGGGACCCATCAATCTACACCTTCTGTTATCTTCCCCAAACATTCAAACATATATTTCTATATATCCACAGATGCTCAACTATATGATAAAAATAAATTATAAGCCGAGTTTGTATTAATTACCTAGACTTCCGCAAACCATATCTGTAGGCACCGATTGCCAATATTGTACTTGTTTATAATCTAGTATATTTAAAAGAAATATATTAAGTAAATATGGTGATCACGCAATCACCAAAATATCAAGAAAATTAGAAAAATATTTATTACACTAGAGGGCGGTGTTCGTGATTATGATCCATAATGACAAATACAATGACATTGAAAATAAGCAATAATAGTTCAGTTTTCTTATATCGGCAAATAGATGCTTCGGAATTGTTTGGCAGTTAAATGAGGTTAGTGTAGTCCCAAAATCGTAGATTTAAAAAGTGCTTTAAAATTTTACAATAGTAATTTATAGAAGAGCATTGCAATTGCATTACATTTTCGCATTCTTGATTTAAGATTTTCCAAAAGCAGTAATTTAAAAATGAACCCAGAAATGGATTTTCTTTATTAAAACTCCAACGTTTTTTACGATTTCGTAAATTATACACTTTTAGGGCACTATTATAATATATGCAATCGATTTTTACGTGCACAACATTTTTAACTATTAGATTTTTTTAAATAATTAACTGGGCAAAAATATGTAGCGAGTATCGAAATATTGGTTCTAGACCCAGAAGTATCGATCTAGACATGTGTGTCTGTCCATTATAATTTTTAAAAAAAGTACAGACCACAGTCCGGTCAAAGACGATACCTTTTCAGAGGTGATCGGATGATATTTAACGAATCAAATGAACCAATAACTTATTTTTTCTGATCACTCTGGAGACCACAATTGTGAAATGAAATGAAATCATGATACTTTTGTTTTTATGTTTATTTCGTAATTAACGAGAATTCTCTCTTTTCGTTGGATGCATGTTTTCCGATCACTGGAACGCCCGATTCCAAAAATTCCAACGGCATTCGAATAGGATTATTAACTTTGCAGATTTAATAAAATGGGGCACATATGATATTAGTTTTTTGGAAAATCCCTTATTTTCGACCACAAACCAAGCTAGAAAAATGAAGATCTTGTCCGATTATATTCATGTACGTACAGAATAACGAGTTACAATTTGGAACGGGTTGGATTATTAGTGAATTAGTGTTGGTTCGAATTAAATAGAAAACCTAAATTGCATTTTTTGAAACCGAAAAAGGGGGCCGTAAATTGTAGTTTTCAATTTATATATCTTATATTTTGGAAAGGATTGGATTATTAGTTTTTGATTTATCGTGCATAGGTTCGAATTAAGTAGAAAACCAATAACATTTTTTAAAACCGAAAATGTGAAGCGTATGCGTTTCCTTAACGCATACGCTTCACCCCACAACGGAACTGTCGTATGTTGTAGTTTTCAGTTTGTATGTAAATAAATACATTTGGCAATATTATTTTTCTTCGTGTAAAATTTGAGTTTTTCTGTTAAAAAAAAAGTTTTTTGAATTGATTGCCTTTTATTGTCGTTGAGAATATTCTAAAATGGGAATTTTATACAATTTTTCTATAATTTAGTCTATGTCGATCTGTAAGAACTCAAATTTTTATATACATTAAGGAAAAATATATAAGAACTTCCATTTTTAAATGTATATCGAACACTCATAGTAATTTCGTTATATCTTTTGAATGAGTTTAGCTTTTTAAATTCTTTTTCAAAGGAATTTAATTTCGGCGTTTCCCAGCCCCTCTACGCAAACACCTCGCGTTTTCTTTGGTATAAAGTGATTAAAACAATGATTATTGTCCGTTATTAACTGTTAATTTTTTTCAATTATATAAGCAATATTCAAGTGTTTAAGCACATTTTGAAACATTATTTTACGATAGTTTTTATATCATTGATGACACTGAAAAGTAATAAATCATTTCAATTTGATTATAGAAAAAAGTAAGAATAATTTGAGAATAAAGGACAATAAGCATTGTTGTAATCACACGATGCCAAAGGAAAACCGATGTAGTTACGGACGTATCGCGTCCTGATGGTCTTATACTCTCTTGGGTCACAAAAAATTGCAGAGGAACTGGGAAACACCTAAATTGGATTCATATAAAAAAATCCAATTACGGATCTACGTATGTAATAGCTATAAAAAATATATAGCGATTGTATATTGAAAATATTTATAATTTTTTCAACACTTATAAATAAAAACATCTCAGGAATTATTCTTTAAAATTTTATAGAAATATCTCTATTATTGAAAATTCTACATCATTTTTAATTAAGAATAGGTACGATTGTATTGTTTTTTATTTATTGTTTTTTATTTATTATTAAAAAACTAATAACCCAATCGATTCCAAATTTTGGGACGTTATTCTGTGAGTGTGTAGCTATCATATGAAATAGGATAATACCAATCGGTGGAGATCATCTTTATTTTTTAACTTAGTTTGTGATCCAAAATAGGCGATTTTCCAAAAATATTTTTTCAAAGGTCCGCCATTTTGTTTATTTTTGACCGATGTCGTTCCCTTAATAATACCTAAAAATTCGTAAATGTTGTTCAAAAACAATCCGTTTGCAATACATCAAAATGACTGTAATTTTGAATTCTGGGCTATTGCTAGTAAAAACATTTTTCATCGAAATTTTTCGATTTATGGTTTGATACAGCCCGCATATAAACATTTTTTATCATCCCAGAACCTTAGATTTCAACAAAAATGTATATTCATAGATTAAATCTTATCGAGACAGAAATGCACGTTCATTTCGAAATCGATTCAAAATTGTCTGAATTTTTGTTCCAAACAGACTTGAGGTATAATGGCGACATTTCCATTAGGCAATATATGCCTTTTTGTTTTTATAATTCTTTGAAGTGAAATTACATTTTCTAAGGTGTTGTAAATTGTGGTTATAAAATATAAATATGAAAAAATAAACAGTATAGTAAGTGATATGTGTTGTTTCTTTATTTCAGAAGCTTTCCTATGTCAGAGATCAAATTGAAAGAATTACGCCAAAACAATTGAGAATTATTTCAAAGTTCACAGGACCAGACACTTCAAAACAATGTCCCACAATAAAAAGGGACATTGCTTGTTGTTCACCAGAGACCCCATAAAGTATATATATATATATATATTCTCGATCAGGATGACATTCTATGTCGATTTATAGGTGTCCGTCTTTCAGTCACTCTTAGTACTCCTAGGATGTTTGATATTGAAATGAGATATATACACGTACACGTTTAGGTATAGCCCCCCCGTTTATAAACCGAATTGGCTGTAATTTGGTATTTTGAGTTCTCAGTGAATAACACATCTCTGTACTAAAAATTATTAATATTGACCCAGGGTAGACTCCATATAACGGCACCTCCACATATACGTTATTTTGCAGATTTGGGACACGTTCTTTCAACTAAATTGGCTGAAATTTAGTTAGGTTTTGGGATATTTAGGGTTGTTATTGTACTAAAAATGATTAATATTGGCTCAAGTTTCAGGCTAGCCCCCATATAACGGTACCCCCAATGTTCGGTATTTTTGAGATTTTGGACACGTTTTTCAATCAAATTGTTTATTTTGGGTTCTCATTGTATATCACATTATTGTACTAAGAAGTATTAATATTGAGTGTAGCCACCATATAACAGTACCCTCACATTTCTATCACTACCCAAATTGATCAGTAATGATCCACGTTTTGGTATAGCGCCATAGGCAATCATCTTTTTCTTACGTATTTTTCGGTATATTCAAAGTCCTCTCATAACATGAATTTTCTCCAGGAGC